TAGGGAAAGTCAGAATATGGAGGGCTTTTAGTTTTATTCTACAGCAGCAGTACCAGCTTTGGAGTCTGAAGGGTCCCTGCTTTGATGTATTTATATGACTGCATTTTCTCATGCACTGAATCTGTGTCCTAGTGCACTGGCCTTTGGGCATACAACTAGGCTGATGAGGAGCCCTCTGTTCCATGAGGGAGGCTGATGGGTAAACAGTGAAAACACTGACATGGACCACGAGAGAAGGGAAGTTTTCCAGTTAGGAGCCTCAGAGGATGTGAGGGAAGTTAGGCAGACTAGAGAGAGGGCACACTGCAACGAGCCTGAAGGAGGAGGACCGGGCAGAGAACCACCAAAGAGGTCACGGGGGCGCTGCTGGAGGCGTTTGCACAGGAGACTGTATAGTCAAAACCATGCCATGGTAAGATTAATCTGGTGCTGTGGTGTGAATGGTTTGAAGGGGGGAGGGGTTACGGAAGGGGAGAATAGGTAAGTATCGTAATGGTAAGTAGATAATGAACTAGACACTGGGTGGGGAGGTAGGTGGAGATGCAAAGGACAAATATGAGAGACACTTTGGAATGGTCCAAAGGAAGCAACTGACTGGATACAGAGGATGAGGGTAAAGAAGGCAAAGGTAACCTAGTAACTCCTGTCCTCGGTAGGCTGGAGAAGGGTGGGTGTATTAACAGAAACAGAGAAGTCAAGGAAGATTGAGACCAAGGGTTAGGCCACTTGTTTCTCAATAAAAATATCTGTACCTGTTTAAAAAATTACAAATGTTAGTCTATACACCCCCCAGAGATTTTGATTTATTAAGATTAGAATGAGGCTCTGGCATCTATACTGTTCCCAGGTGATTCTGATGCATAGTTAGGATTTAGAACCACTAGACCAGGTGTCTGAACATTATTGACAATTTGTGATAAGATATTTACTTTAAATTATGTATTTATAATTCTGGAATCACTGATTCACAAAGGCTATAGAACAATAAACTTGATGCATTCTCTCAAAGAACTCAGCCTAGTTGAGGAGACAGGTTTCTAAACTAAGAGCTACACTACAAGAAAGTTAGTGCTTATAAAAAAAAAAAAGGCATGAACTCAGCATTGTAGGGATATGGTATCTAGAACTACCCACGTAGGAGTTTATTAAAAATGTATGGGAGGATACTGAGTAATGGAGGGCATTCTATAACATTTTTTAAAACTTTATTTTATTTATTTATGTTTGGCTGTGTTGGGTCTTTGTTGTTGCACGCGGGCTTTTCTCTAGTTGCGGTGAGCGGGGGCTCCTCTTCATTGCAGTGCGTGGGCTTCGCGCTGCGGTGGTTTCTCTTGTTGCAGAGCACGGGCTCTAGGCGCCCAGGCTTCAGGAGTTGTGGCTCGTGGACTCTGGAGCGCAGGCTCAGTAGTTGTGGCACACAGGTTTAGTTGCTCCGCAGCATGTGGGATCTTCCCGGACCAGGGCTCGAACCCGTGTCCCCTGCATTGGCAGGCAGATTCTTAACCACTGCGCCACCAGGGAAGCCCATGGAGAGCGTTCTAGATCAAGGGAACATCTCTACAAAGGCACAGCATCACTTTAGCAGCTGGATATGCATGCAGAATATCCATCTGGGTTCCTTTTCGGCAAGTGATTCTCAGACAATAGCATTTGAGGAACAGAAGCAAAATGCTTCTTTTGCGGCAGTTTCGTTGGTTTCTGTTGATTTATCTTTTTCTATCTCTTTCACTTTCTTGGCTTTATAAGCCAGCTGCAGCTGCCACACCCCGTCACCACCAGGGTGGAGCGGGGTTTCTCAGCTAGAGAGGAGCAGGGCCGGTAGCTGATCCTACCGCATCGTCCATTAGTGGAGAGTCATTAAGGGCTCTCCCACCCTCTTCCCCATTCCTGACCTCTCCAACAGTAACGAGTCGCTTACAGGAGACAGGATTGAGAAAAAGCCTCAAGTGTCCTTACTGCTTGGGCCCCTTCTGTCACTGGATTTTGTGAACAAATGAATGGATGGATGAACGTGCTCACTTTGCTAAAACGTGGGATTGTCTGTGTCTTCCGGCCTGCTTTGTAAATAGTTAACGCCTCGTCGGTTCCTCATTGACAATGTATATAAAAGAATAGGAAGGATGTGGCTAGTGTGGAGTTCCGTATGAGACCTAAAGGCCATCAAGCATTTTCCCCTTTTCAAATGAGTATAAGGATTGTAAGGATTTGTCAAGTTGTCTTTGTTTTCATAGATCTGAAGCATCAATATGAGGTCGAGATGAAGAAAGGCAAAGATACTGGTATACAACTGTCTCATTCCATGTAAATGTCATCAAAATAATCAAATGCAGTAACTGATTTGGTGGCAATTTTTGTTCAAAGCTGTCACTACTTTTTTTTTTATAGTGAAGAATGAAAATCTGGAGGAAAAAGGATATTCTGGAATTGTCAGTGTAAGGATTTTAGTTCATGAGTGGCCTATGACATCTGGTTCCAGTTTGCAACTAATTGTCGTTCAAGAAGAGGTAGTCGAGATTGATGGAAAACAAGTAAGATAGTATTATGCTTACTAACTGAGAATTTAATTATAAAGATTTGTGCTCAGTGTTATGCATGTGTTCAGTTATTTTACTATTTATTTCTGACTTAATAAGGAAAAAAGTTACGTTAGTGTTGCGTGTATCCAGTCACTCAGAATTTTTTACTTGTTTAGCATTTGAAGTCTTAATTTTAAAAAAGATCATATTCATACATGTTTATATCACTTTAAAATATTGTAAACATCATTAAACAGAGCAAGTAAGTGAAGAGATTGAATTTGGTTCGTAGCTCTGCTGCCATTTCCTCTGGCTAAGTCTCTCTAAGTCAATGAAATGGAACTGAGAGCGAGCCTCTAATAGTGAGCACACTATGTGATTAAAGTTGCAAATTAAATGTCTTAAAGTGGGGGGGAAAGAAAGAGGAATTGTGTGTGACTAGGACAAGGTTTTTAGTTTCAGAAATCAGGGAGGAAAATTCAGTTTTAGTTTCTTACCAGGTTGTGCCATTATTTAAAATAAAGAGTAATTGCTTATATTTTCTCATAGGCTCAACAGAAGGACATTACTGAAATCGATATTTTAGTTAAGAATCAGGGAATACTCCGACATTCAAACTACACCCTGCCTTTGGAAGAAAGCATGCTGTACTCGATTTCCCGAGACAGTGACATTTTATTTACCCTTCCCAACCTCTCCAAAAAAGGTACTTTAAAATACCATTATTTAAAGTGTTAAGGAAATTATTTCTTTAGTTGGTAACTTTTTAATCATAATTAATATGTTTCGAAGTAAGCTTCTCTTAAAAATGCTTTATAACATGTATTGCTTTATATATCCATTTGAGGACTTTGCAGAGTGTGATCAATGCTGATTACAGAGTGACATTTTGCTGTATTCATCTATCTACTCTTAGTCTGGGTAATCATCACAAAATACATAATAAGAATGTCGTTCATTTAAGTTCATTTAGAGGAGGAAGTATCCATTTTTCCCACTGAAACACAGAACTTTAAAAAATTTGACTTTCTGTGTGACAGAATCATAACTGCTGTAGCTCCCTTTTAACTGTCTAAATTTGGGGTTCCTTTCTGGCATTTAAAGCTAAACAATCAAATGTTTGTTTCTCTACCATGGAAAAATGTATGTTCTTGCTATCTGAAATGTTACTGGTGTAGTAGTCTTAGGACTGGTGGGAGAGACACCAGCATATGCCTAGCATTTTGGTAATCTGGCTCTTCCTCCTCAGGAGAAAGTGTTAGTTCATTGCAGACCACCAGCCAGTATCTTATCAGGAATGTGGAAACCACTGTAAATGAAGACGCTTTACCTGGCAAATTACCTGAAACTCCTCTCAGAGCAGAGCCTCCATCTTCCTATAAGGTAAATCAGGCGTTTGGGGTTCTCTTTATATGTACGACAAGCATTTATGGTTATGGTAAAGAAAATAAATATCAGCATTTAAAATGAGGTGGAAACCATGAGGATTGGATCCGCGGGATATTGTTAATAATGAACTCATCACTGTTTTACTGTGATATTTTTAGGTATTCCTATCTTCCTTTTCAAGTTTCACTTAGTAATGCAGTCAGATAATGATGATTAAGGCATTAGATTTCATTTTGTTTGGGATCTTCCGTTTCAGAGGCTTTCTCATGTCCCCATTTGTCTGTTTATTCTGTGACTTCTAACACAAACACACATGCATGGTCCCCTCAGGACCGTGTGCAGTGACTAAACACACTTGGTAAAGAGTGTACTTTCTGGAATCAGACTGCCTAGGTTTGAATCCTGCTTCTGCCACTTCACTAGTTGTATCATCTTGGACAAGTTCCTAGCCTCTCTAACCTTTATCCGTACAGCAAAGGTCCGTAAAGTGATGCCTTTCTCGTCAGGTTGTTGTGAGCACTGAAATAAGATGGGTGCAAATGTAAATACGCACTGGCACCTGTTAAGGACTTGTATATTCTTAGTGACATTATACTGCTGACTGGGAAGATATTCTGGGTTCAGAGAGAGTATCCTGGAATCTCTATGTTAGCTAGGCCCCTCACTCAGAATAATTTACATTTAAATGAGCAGGATCTGTGGTTAGTCAAAATGGATTCCAGAGATGATTCTTCGAAGAGGTTCTCACTGAAGGTTAGGACTGCTTGCGTGGGGTCGCTGGAGAAATCCAGGTCACTTTGTGCTGCCTGAACTCTAGCGCCCTCACTGTCTGCCCCATCTCCTTCAGAGCAAGGAAGCCCAAGAACAGACTCTTCAAAGCCCATGCCATCAAAAGCACACCTGAGTTTCTTCTGTCACTGTTTAAGTACAGAAATAGGTTTTGTGCACAGTGAATGCCCTGTCTGTTTCAAAAGCGACTGATATGTTTGTCTCTCTCTCCTTCTCTTGTCCTCCAAATATTGGAAACACATAGTTGACGGGTCCATTTTATGTAAGTGGACTAGCTTTCTTCTTGTCAATTAGCAATTATTTTCACTTGGTTTACGGTTAGACAGCAGTGTAAATAATTGTAAATATAGCAACATTTCTGTGCCTCTTTTGCATAATTTTTTAAATTGTAAATAACTGAGGTACATTGAAAAATAAAATGCACCCACTTAAAATGGACAGTTAGATAAGTTTTGACAAGTGCAGACACCCATGTAACCACCACCAGTCAAGGTATATAATGTTATCATCACCCAAAACTAGAACATAAGTTTTAAAGTTTCTTAGAGCTCAAATGAAACTTGCGTATCTAATGAAAACCCTTTTTTTTTTAAAGGTGATGTGTCAGTGGATGGAAAAGTTCAGAAAAGATCTGTGCAGGTTCTGGTGTAGTGTTTTCCCAGTATTCTTTATGTTTTTGAATGTCATGGTGGTTGGAATTATAGGAGCAGTTATAGTAATAACCATCTTAAAGGTGCTTTTCCCAGTTTGTGAATACAAGTAAGTATTTCTTATTTTGGATCAATTTTAGTATTTTTAATGATTAAAAAGTAGTTGTATTTACTCTATTTCAGAGTGGAAAATACAAACATTAGGAAGGATAAGAGAAGTGGGAGGGAAAATAACATCTTTTTTTTTCTAGCCCATCTTTCAACTTTAGCAAAATTAAAAGACATTTATTAGATACCTGTTATGGTCAAGACACTTGTCTTGGGAATTCTTATGTGGATAGGACAAACTCTGCTGTGTAAGAACTTAGTTTATTAGAGAGAGAAAGGAAACAAATCTCTATAATGGAAAATGGCAATGTGTATAATAAGAAAGAAATGAAACAAGAGGGCTTCACTATTTTCAACCCCAAAGTATCAATTTAAAATGAAGTAAATTTTTGAAGACTAACGGGATATTCACGGCAGCACTGCTTATAACAAAAAACAAAAGCAAAAGAGGAAAACTCTGAACTGTTTATAGGTGGAGGTTGATAGCTAATGGTTCACACATGCAGTGGGATTCTGTGCGTCTTATAAAAGGAAGAAGTCCGGACTTCCCTGGTGGCGCAGTGGTTGAGAGTCCGCCTGCCGATGCAGGGAACACGGGTTCGTGCCCCGGTCCGGGAAGATCCCACATGCCGTGGAGCGGCTGGGCCCGTGAGCCATGGCCACTGAGCCTGGGCGTCCGGAGTCTGTGCTCCGCAACGGGAGAAGCCACAGCAGTGAGAGGCCCGCGTACCGCAAAGAGAAAGAAAGAAATAAAGAAAAAAATAAATAAAAGAAGTCCAAGATGTATTAGATGGGGGAAAAAGTTGCCTAATGGTATCATCCAATTTGGGTAAAAGAAAAGTACGTGTATATGTATATAAATGCAGGTTTCCAGAATGACAAGGGAGATGTTATGTCTAAGAAGTGAGAATGAGAGCAGGAGTGGAGAGACCTTCACTTTTTCCCCTTCTGTACAGCTTGATTTTTTTTTTAACTGTAAGAAATTATTTTATAAATTTTAAAATGAATTTATTGTTGGCATTTTTACAAGTTAAATAACTAGTCATTTTAGTCGTCTTACTAGAAGTAAATCTCAATAGAGATGACAATTTTTTTTTTTAATTTTTATTTATTTTTGGCTGTGCTGGGTCTTGCTTGCTGCGCGCGAGCTTTTCTCTGGTTGCAGCGAGTGGGGGGCCACTCCTCATTGCGGTGCGCAGGCTTCTCATTGCAGTGGCTTCTCTTGTTGCGGAGCACAGGCTCTAGGCGTGTGGTCTTCAGTAGTTGTGACACACGGGCTCAGTAGTTGTGGCTCGCGGGCTCTAGAGCGCGGGCTCTAGAGCACAGGCTCAGTTGTTGTGGCGCACGGGCTTAGTTGTTCCACGGCGTGTGGGATCTTCCCGGACCAGGGATCGAACCCACGTCCCCTGCATTGGCAGGTGGATTCTTAACCACTGCGCCACCAGGGAAGCCCGATGACCACAATTTTTGGCTTAGCTAAATTACACTGGACTATGTGGAGAAGACCATAGGATTTATTTTTTTTAAAAAAAGACCCAATTTAAACATTTGCTTTTTTTCCACTTGTCAAGGTCTTCAAAATTTCCATTTCTTCATGTGTAACACTGAACTAATGCCTCCCTTAAAGGATTGTTAGAGGTCAAAGTCATAATACAAGCAGAGCAACTGAGAGTAAATAAATATTAGTGCCCCTCCCACCTTTTAGTTTGTGTTTCCCCTGGAGAATTCCCATTTTCCATTTCTTTCTGATAATGAAAAGTCTATAACTTAATAATAATAATAATAATAATAATAATTCTATAACTTCTTCCTTTTTCCTTTGACTGCCAGGAAGCTCAGGACTTTTTTTTTTATCTTTGTTATGCAAATCTACATAGAAAACAGTGTTGTAAATTTTTTAATTGTTCTTTTACCAAATGTTTTATTTATCATGGGCTCCTCTGTGTGAAAAAATGCAATGTAAAATTAAAAACCTTATTTTCAATATACTCTTATCATTGGCAATTGTACTGAGGATTCTTTCTGGTAGTAGAAATTTTATCAATACAGAAAGTTAAAAGTACCTTTTCACTTCCCTGTTCTTTAATTCTTGTATCTAGAGGTAGTAATTGTTAACTGTTTGGGTATGCATCTTTTATCCAAATTCTGTGTATTGATGTGTAATTGTATACTAGATACTTATAATTGTTTATCAATCTAGACTCTTAACTGTCCCACAAGTTGTATTACTCACTTATAAGAGAGGTTCCCAAACTTTCTTGGTTCATAGCACTCTAGTGTGCCAGGAATTTTTTCTTGGTGCCCTTACCTAGGCCAGAAATAAAATTGAAAGAAAAAATATTTTTTATTTCTTAACTTACTAATGGGATTGTGTACCTATAGGGCACTACACAATACTCATATCTTAGAATCAGATTGGACACTGCCACCCTCATTTCCCATTCAACATTAGTTTTTTGTACTGTATTTGCTTTTTATCACAATAACTGCCCCAAATCCAGCTTTGCAAAGATGAGACCTCATTGAAAAAAGAATGTGTAGTACAATGTAATGTTAAAATCGTTAACTACCCTCAAGCTAGTATTACACATAAAGTCTTGAATTTTATTTTTTAACTTTTTATTTTATATTGGAGTATAGCCGATTAACAATGTTGTGGTAGTTTGCACAGCAAAGTAACTCAGCCATACATATACAGGTATCCATTCTCCCCCAGACTCCCCTCCCATCCAGGCTGCCACATAGCATTAAGCAGAGTTCCCTGTGCTATACAGTAGGTCCTTGTTGGTTATTCTTTTTAAATATAGCAGTGTGTACATGTCAATCCCAAACTCCCTAACTGTGCCTTCCCTCCACCCTTCCCCCCCTGGTAACCATAAGTTCATTCTCTAAGTCTGTGAGTCCATTTCTGTTTTGTAAATATGTTCATTTGTATCATTTCTTTTAAGATTCTGCATATAAGCGATATCATACAATATTTCTGTCTGAAGAAGTCTTGAAATTTTTAAATATTCTGTAGCACCTCTGTGAGCCATGCTCAGTGCAGTTTGGTACCCATGGGCTTAAGATCTTTTCCTATCAATACATATATGGACTTACTCTTTTTATGGCTGCATAGTGTTTCACAGTATGGGTATGCCATAGTATAACCATTCCTTCATTAGACATTTAGGTAATTTCCAATTTCATGTTACTTCCAATAATGCTCTAGTGTATATTCTTAAATGTTCATATATCTCTTTGCACATGTATATTTATGTAGGATAGAGTCCTAAAAGGTGAAATTACTGGGTCAGAGTATATGTATTTAACATCTTCTCAACACCTGATAGCAATCTTTTTTGCTTTTTATACTGTGGACAAAAATCTCATTTTAATTTCCATTTTCTTCTTACTACCATCTTTACTAGTCTAGGTCTAGCTAAGTCTAGCATCTTTGTGATGCTTAGCTGTATATATTTCTCCCGTGACATGCCTATTTAGAACCTTTGCCCATTTTTCAGTTGTATTGCCTTTTGTAATCATTAACCTGTAGGGCTCCTTTGTCTGTTATACATACATAATATGTATTGCAGATATATGTATATTTTTATTTTTTATTATTTTTATTTTTATTTTTTGTGCGGTACGCGGGCCTCTCACCGCCACGGCCCCTCCCGTTGCAGAGCACAGGCTCCGGACGTGCAGGCTCAGCGGCCATGGCTCATGGGCCCAGCCGCTCCGCGGCATGTGGGATCCTCCCGGACCGGGGCACGAACCCGCGTCCCCTGCATCGGCAGGCGGACTCTCAACCACTGCTCCACCAGGGAAGCCCCTATGTATATTTTTAAATCCCAGACTATGATTTGTCTTTTGCTTTTATTTATGGTATTCCGTGTCACACAGGAATTTTAAATTTGGGGTCAGGACAATTCACGTTTTCTCTTTATGGCTTCTAGGATTTAATTTTTTCTCAAATAGACCTTTCCCATCTTAAACTTACATTGTTTTCTTAAAACTTAGTTTTTACCATCACTTTTGTGTATTGTTTGAGCTAGTTGATTTTGCTTCCCAGAGAGGCCATTGTTCTATTGCCCATTGACTTGGAATATTACCTTATTACGAACTAAATTCCCATGTTTCTGGACTCTCTTCTTCCAGTGATCTAGTCTATTCCTGTGCCAGTAGCATGGTTTTAATTTAATAAATAGTGTTTTAATAAATTCTCTGCTAGCTGGTTAGGGCAACTGTCTCTTCTCTGCATTGTTCTTTTTTAAAAAAATGTTACAGCTATTCTTGTAGTTTCTCCCTTGTGAACTTCAAAATCAGCTTGTTCAGGTCTATAAACAACTAACTTCTGTTTACATTCTGATTAGGGTAATACTGAGCTTGCAATACAGGGTTATGGATCCAATCCAAAGATCTCCCTGGTCAGGTATTTTAGTAACAGCAGAAATGCTGTCTAACGATCTAAGGTTGTGTTCCACTGGAGTACTGGTTAGAAAGATGCTTGGGCCTAGTCTTCTTGCCCAACTTGTGCAAATCTAGGACTCTGTTTGCCTTGGAGATCTGTAACTTACCCTGTCATCTCCTACAGTACCAGGTAAAGAACTTCCTCTTATTCCTTTCTGTTCCCTCAATCAGTTTGGTTAAAGTGAACTTTGGACTTAGGATTTATATAACCATCATAAACTAAATGAAGCAAAATTACCTAACCTCAGGTATATATTTAATTATAACCTCGAAGTAACCCTATCTTACTTTAAATTTTTTATTTCAGAGGAATCCTTCAGTTGGATAAAGTGAACGTTATGCCTGTGACAGCTGTCAACTTACATCCAGATGGTACTGAGAAAACAGCAGAAAACCCTGAAGATAAAACATGTGTTTAATACACCATCTCAAATCATGGACTCAGAATTAGTCTATTGGTTCAAATTTGCCGCTCGAATATAATTTTCTTTAAATCGTTAGGAATCAGTTTGTACAGTAAAGAAATTGCTAAACTCCTAAAACTGCCTAAAACTTGACCTTTAAAGTGATAGTTAAAGTTCACCTTATTAACGGGGCTGGCTGTTCATATGGTGAGTTATTAAAGAAAATTTAAATGAAATGGAAGAGAAGATGTGAAGAAACTTTGAAACTACCAAAAAACAAAAAAAAAGGGCAAGACAAAATGCCATGTGCCAATACTTTTCAAGGTGCCTTTGTTAATGAAATTATATACACTTAATTGCTATAATATATAAGACTTTATGAAAAGCACTTTATGAAATTCTAATTTAAAAGCTCAAGAACTTAACACTTATTTTTTTATTGAGTACAATGTGCCTTAATATTAAGTATGTGACTCAGTATAAAATCACTGAAGTATATCATGATTTAATTGTATCCTGTACCAAGACTACTTACCTTGAATGAACCAGGATTTTAAAACAGTGACATGTTCTCACTCTAAAAATAAATTTTTTTGAAGAAAAAAGTACAATCTTTTTGGAATAAAAACTTTGCTCATGTGCGAGTTACTTATATATAATAGCTGCTTTCACGTAACACTGGCTGAAAGCAAGGCTCACATCAGTTAATGAGTCCATCAATGTCATGGAATTACAACGTGCCTTTGCTCTTGTGGTTCTAAATATAATCTTATTTACCCTACAATAGTGTTTAACCATCACCCAAATTGACAAATATTTTACAATGTGATCTAGGACATATAATACTTATTAAAATTCTTCTTTTGATTGCAACCCATCATTTAAAACACATTATTCAAAAAAGAAATGACTGATTTTTAAGACCAACCACCTTAGATTTTGGCTAAATAGAAATATGTGTGGAGGAAAGATAAAGGCAGTAAAGGAGTGATGTTTCATTCTGCCTGTTTGTTTTTTTAATATTTATTTAATTTTGGCCGTGTTGGGTCTTCGTTGCTGCGCGCAGGCTTTCTCTAGTTGCGGTCAGCGGGGGCTACTCTTCGTTGCGGGCTTCTTATTGTGGTGGCTTCTCTTGTTGCAGAGCATAGGCTCTAGGCGTGCGGGCAGTAGTTGTGGCACATGGGCTGCTGCTCCAAGGCATGTGGGATCTTCCCGGACCAGGGCTCGAACCTGTGTCCCCTGCATTGGCAGGCGGATTCTTTTTTCTTTTTTAATTAATTAATTAATTTTATTGTTGGCTGTGTTGGGTCTTCGTTGCCGCACGTGGGTTTTCTCTTGTTGCAGTGAGCAGGGGCTACTCTTCGTTGAGGCACGCAGGCTTCGCATTGCGGTGGCTTCTCTCGTTGTGGAGCACGGGCTCTAGGCACGTGGGCTTCAGTAGTTGTGGCACGCAGACTCACGTGGGATCTTCGCAGACCAGGGCTCGAACCCGTGTCCCCTGCATTGGCAGGCGGATTCTTAACCACTGTGCCACCAGGCAAGTCCTGCCTAGGTGTTTTTAATAAGGAATAACAGCCCTATAATGTGCTATCTCCATATTATAGACGAATAAATCATAGTATGCAGTTTACAGTTTGATCCTCAAGTCACCCAGCTGGTAACACTTTATCTTTTTATGTCCTCCTCATTCTCTCAGTTGCTAGAAATCACCAGTTCTAACTTTAAATGATGACAGGGTCTTATTTCATCCATTAAGCATAAGCTTGAAGATTCTAGTGAGGAGAACAATGTAGGAGGCTTTTGTTGGAGCGTGTAGACTTTGCAGTCAGCAATTCCCATCCTGACTTCTCCCCTTACCTGTGAGGCTTGGGACCACGGCAAGACACTCAGTCTTCTTGAGGCTCTGTTTTCTATGGTTGGGCCGCCACAGTGTTTTTTACAAGTAATTATAAATAAAAATCTTACCTAAAATTTTATACCATTAACCTTTATTTCATTTATTAACTTTTACTTCCATCATTAACTATTACATATTTTATTTATGCTTTGTATCCATGAGTGATGGGTTAATGCGTTTCACTGGAGTACAGTGAGCAGCACGGGCTGAAAAGTATCTACTTGCCTACAGTGCAGCCTCTTACACAGGCAGAATAAAGTAAGGCAGGCAAGGTTTTATATAGATGTATATATTTTTTCCTTTTAAATGCACAGTAAAATGAAGGGCCTTTAAAGCTCTCTCAGGACGAGGAGGGACGTTACCATAACACCACGCAGGAAGGAAAGCACAATGGGTGTGGTTCGTGCATCAAATGGCTACTTGTATAAAAATGTTCAGGAATTTTCAGCTATCCACTGGCACCTGTGGAGCTAGAGCCAGTCTTATTCTTTAGAAGGAAGAGCAGCCGCAGGCAGTGGAAGAGAAGATGGTATACTTAGATGTACATATAAGACAGTTTTCCAAGCTAAGTAATAGCATCTGTGCCGCAACATTTGTTGTCAGTGAAAGAGAAATACAGTAATGCTAAAGTAAAACATATTTGCTTGTAACTTTTAAAAATTTCCTTTATTCAGAATCATACTTTTTTGTTTCACTCTTACCATTATGAAAATTTAAAAAAATATAGCGCTTGGTGCAATGACGTACTACTTTTAATTATTATTCAAACACATAATGCAGGTTTCTCACAGTTTACGTGTGAGAATTTAGCATGATCCAAACTCAAATATCCACTTCTCATATCTTTCAATGTCTGCAGCAGATACTGACTTAGAAACCTTTTTTAAAGCCATTTCAAAATCCTCCATAGTTGTAGGCAAGTGCATTTCTTCTCTTGAAAGATTTCTGATTTCTTCTGGGGTCAGACCTTCAATACGCCTTCTCATTGCCATCAAGGATGCATCCCTAGGTTTTAAATTTAAAAAGCAAAACCAAAAAACCACAAAATGATGTTTTGGTTGAATAAAAATGTGTAAACAAAAAGATTTTTCAGTGCATATGTTATTCTGTAATTATCTTATTACATATACATATGTAGTATTGCAGAGAATCCAGTACTGGACTATAAGGCCCGTTTTTGAGTTGTTTTTTTAGCAGTTGAATCTGAGCAAAAAGCCCAAGAAGAATTAAAAGGATATAATAAGATAGCAATTCAATTTTATTAAAAGTGTACCATAATATTAAGAATAAGCATCACAGAGACAGGAGAGAGGCTGTTAGCTAACACTAACTTAATACCAAAACTTGTGTCTCTGACTAGATTATAATGTGGGTCTTTATTCTTCATCTATCTTAATTCAGCATAAAAACTTCATAATAGAAGCTTATACCCACAAAAACCTACGCTTCAAAAAAAAAAAAAAGACAAAACACCTGTGCTTCCAAAATAATTCATACCTGCACACGTTGGTAATGTCCGCACCTGAATAACCTTCCATGTTTTCTGCTATACTTGCAAGGTCAACATCATCAGCCAATTCCAGCTCACGTAGACTTATTCGTAATAGCTCCTCCCTGCCTTTTGCTATTGGTAGAAACAAATTTAAAAATATAAGCCTTCAACATAAACAATGTTTTATTTTTCTCCAGTCTACTTTGAGAAGTTGTTTTCCAATTCTTAGAGCTCATTTGCTTAAAAAATTTAAGACCTATTCCTTACTGAATTTACTGTATTTATTTTTAAATTTTAATTAATTAATTTTTATTTTTTTAAATGGAAGTACTTCATTGAATTTTAAATTTCCTAATATCAAGGCTTTAGGCTCCAGATATAGCCAAACCAGTTAAAATAAGGAAAGACATCCTACATTTGTCTTGAAAAGTTAATTAATAACAAATTTTAAAATTTCTAAGCAAAACTATCTAAGAGTTAACATGACCTTTCTGATTCAAATAAAGATACCTGATGGCAATGGAATATAGATTCTTTTTTCAAGACGTCGTCTTAAAGCCTCATCAATATCCCAGGGAAAATTAGTAGCTGCCAGAACCATAACCATTTTGGAAGGGTCATCATTTTCAGAAGCACCTCCAACACCTCGAGGATGGATAAGAACACAGTAAAAAAATAAAAAACAAAGCTCAACTACTTAAAGATCATCAAATATTTAGCACAACATTAAAAGCAGGGTAATCATCAAGCCTCCCTAAGACTTATAAAGCTAACTGGTACGTATGTGAATTTGTGGTCCAAGAAAAATGAGTTTTTGCCGTGTGCAAAAAATAGGACTCAAAATAGATTTGATCAAAAGACTAGTTCAGCACAACTACATAGCAATTTAAAAAATTCTTCAAAACCATACGTATCCCTCTCTAAGGCCAATTAATCGGCATTTGTTTCAAATTCATGGCTAAAAATGAGATCAGTGTGTATGACAGAGGGTGTCCTGTGAATAAACAGCCATAATTGCTGGTGTGTCACTGCTGTCAGTGCACCCAGTTTACCGCTGGCAATCTCCAGGACCTACTGGCCAGCCCCACGTCACTGGGGCTGTGTGGGTCAGCACTATGAGTGGGGCTTGCTCAGCTCATGCAGTGACACAGGCATACCGTCCATCTGAATCAGCAGCTCGGCTTTCACCCTTCTGCTTGCCTCGTGCTCTTCGGAAGTCCCTCTACGGCTACAAATGGAATCTATCTCATCAATAAATATGGTGGCTGGAGAGTAAAATCGAGCCTAAAGGGAGAAAGCATGCAACACCAGGTTTTTATTTCATTTAAAAGTCATCTATAGTTTAGCAATTAGAAAAGAGCTGTGGAGCCTGCCACCCTATGCATCTCTTCCTCTCTGCCTAATACTGGGGAGAGAGGATAGAATTGGAACAGCTAAAATATAGCTTCTAATATAGACCTATCATATACTTAAATCTTATATGGCAATTTTTTATACTATTCAATACTATAACTGATTATATTCAACACGTATTTGTTTATGAGTCATATAAATACAGGATTATCCTGTACACTACAATAATATGGACAACAATGGTGGGAAGACATTTACAGATACTGACAAGTGTTCTAAAGTTCTAGAAAAATTTTTGTTAAAGAGAACCATTACCTTAAATAAAATCACACAGATTCCCTCTAAGGGATTCTAATTAAATTGCCATTTTTCATTTGACTAATACAAGTACAGCTGACCCTTGAACAACTCGGGGTTTGAACTGCATGGGTCCACTCATATGTGGATAGTTTTCCATAGTAAATACTACGGTACTACACAGTCTGTGGTTGGTTGAACCAAAGGATGTAGAAGAACCGTGGATACAGAGGGCTCA